GTCATTCTTGGCTGTTTTTAGCTGTGTGTTTTGGGCCATTGTCCTGTTGCATGACCTGAGACTGAGGCCCAACTTTCTGACACCGAGGAGAATGTTTCTTTCTAAAATTCAATGATAGTCAGGCAATTTCATTGTACCTTGCCGACCTTGGTGAAAATATCCTTATAGAATATTACCCCAGAAGCTTTACGGTTTTTCAATATGGTCTCCCAAATTTAAGGGTCAATATTTTTCCAGATTTATTTTTAACAATGGTGTCCTCTTTGATTGTCTCCCATTAAGGCCACTGGTTAACACGGCGAAAGACTTGAATATTTTGTTGGAATTAAAGGAACAGCACTAGACTGGTTTAAATCTTATCTATCTGATCGAATTCAGTTTGTTCATGTTAATGATAGATCTTCAACACGCTCAAAGGTTACCTGTGGAGTACCACAGGGATCAGTGCTAGGACCAATTCTCTTTACTTTATACATGCTCCCAATTGGTAGAATTATTAGACAGCATGGGATTAATTTCCACTGTTATGCTGATGATACCCAGCTATATCTGTCTATAAATCCAGATGAAGCTAACCCATTACATAGATTACAGGCATGTCTTGAAGACATAAAAACCTGGATGACTCTTAATTTTCTGCTTCTGAATGCAGACAAAACAGAAGTTATAGTCTTTGGACCAGAGTCTCTGAAAAAGAAACTGATTAGCCAGTCACTTCATTTGGATGGGATTAAACTGATTTCAGATAATAAAGTAAAAAATCTTGGTGTTATTTTTGATCAGGACCTGTCATTTAAATCCCATATCAAAGAGGTTTCTAGAATTTCCTTCTTTCATCTGAGGAACATTGCAAAAATTAGAAATCTCCTGTCCAGGGGTGATGCTGAGAAACTAGTCCATGCATTTGTTACTTCAAGGCTGGACTATTGTAATTCTTTACTATCAGGAAGTCCACAAACTGTAGTTAAAAGCCTTCAGCTGATCCAAAATGCTGCAGCCAGAGTTCTAATGAAAATGAAAAAGAGAGATCATATCTCTCCTATCCTGGCTTCTCTTCATTGGCTTCCTGTTAAATCCAGAATAGAATTTAAAATCCTCCTTCTCACATATAAAGCCTTAAATGGCCAAGCTCCATCTGATATCAGAGATCTGATTGTTCCTTATGTTCCTAACAGAGCACTTCGCTCTCAATCTGCAGGTTTACTAGTGGTTCCTAGAATTTCTAAAAGTAGAATGGGAGGCAGATCTTTTAGTTATCAGGCTCCTCTCCTGTGGAACCAACTACCAGTTTTAGTCCGTGAGGCAGACACCCTGTCTACTTTTAAGGCTAGGCTTAAAACTTTCATTTTTGATAAAGCTTATAGTTAGGGTGGCTCAGGTTATCCTGAGCTATCTCTATAGTTATGCTGCTATAGGCTTAGACTTTTGGAGGACATAGGGACCCCCATTTCATCATTCTGCTTCATTCTCTCTCTGTTCTCCTATTCTGCAGAATCTGTTAGTTCAATCTCTAACCTTCTGCTCTCTCTGCTTTTCCTCAGAGTAGCTTTGCCTCGTCTGTTCCTGTTTGGCTGTGACGTCATCCTGGAAAAAAACATCAGCTGTGCTGCTTCTATCAACACCCTTGTTAATAGATGTTGGAGATCAGCCTGTTTTCCAGTGTGGTCCTGTTTCTCTGACCGTGACTGAGTGGATGTGCTCTCTTCGTCCTCTGGCATGGGAGCTGCCTTGGAGCTCGTCTGCCTGGCTGTGTGTTTCCTGGACGGGGCCTCCTTTTACAGCTGCTTTTTGTATCTCTGCTTCTGTCTCCTTGAACCCCAGTCGGCCTCGGCAGATGGCCGCTCACACTGAGCCTGGTTCTGCTGGAGGTTTCTTCCTGTTAAAAGGGAGTTTTTCCTCTCCACTGTCGCTACAAGCATGCTTAGTGTGGGGGATTGTATTTGAGTCAATGAGTCAATGCAATCAACTGGTTTTCCTTAGATAGAAAACTTTGTATCAATTTGACTGTATGATCTGGTTGAACTGTAAAGTGCCTTGAGATGACATGTGTTGTGAATTTGGCGCTATATAAATAAACTGAATTGAATTGAATTGAATTAACACAATGATCGATGGTGTGATCTGACACTGATAATCCTTAGGCTTAAAGTTCAACTCTAATCTCTTTAGATTTTTCTGGGCTCTTTTTGTTAACATTTGTGTGATCTGTCTCTTTGATTTGACATCAATTTCTCTCCCACAGCCATGTCCAGTGAGGTTGGATACAGTCCCATGGATATTAAACTTGAATAATATGAGCCACTGTTGTAACTGGAAAACTGAATTGCTCAGAGATGATCTTATAGCCTTTACCTTTAACATACTTATTTATAGTTTTCCTGCTAATCTCTTAAAAAAAATTCTTCCCCTCCTTTGTTCCATGTTGAGTGTGGTATACACCATACCATCAGTCAGTGATTACTTGTAGCCCTATGTAATAGGTCCGCTGACTATTTACAAAATTGCAGACACCTGCTATTCTAATTACTGTACACACTTTGATGATTAAACATGTGGGGTCTTTTTGTAATATACTATACGGGTACAATCAGTTTTGTTTAAGCCTGTTTATTTTTTTTCTAAATCCTTCTGTTAAAGTACAGTTGAAAGGAAAAAGGATAAACTTTGTGCAGCCCATCAAAAAAAAAAGACAAAACAAAGTCATAATTCTTTTAACATTTATTTTTTTATTTTGGTTAATATAAAGAGGTATAAAAGTCCAATATTTTTTTACAGCAGTGACCACAACGCCAGATGTGAAAGTTTGTAAGGAGGATGAATCTTTTGGACATGGACAACCAGACTGTGTCTCACCTTTTTTAAAGGGGATGCTTGATGAATCAATGGTAATGTTGCCCTTTTGAATTTTCTCAAACACAACAACTTTAATAAACATGGTTCAATATTATTAGTATTATCCTACTTTTTTAATCCAACTTTCTTAGAAAATAGATGAATTATATGAAACTTGTTCTTCAAGAGAATAGATATTGATATGTGATATTTATGAACATTTTGTATTTGATATGTATTTGATGTAAAAATGTGAATGTATATTTCAGGGTATAACCTTTAAACTGGATGTGAAGAGCACAATCATATAATGTACTGTATAATCCATCAGTTGCAATTGCTAGTGCAGTATTCTTTAAAGATTAAAATGTTGAGCTGTATTGTTCCAACAGCTGTGTTTTTTACAGTATGTTTATACACCTTGGTGCTTTAAAAACCAAAAAGATAACCTGATGCTGTAAATATGACAGAATTAGCTCAAGGCAAGACCAAGTTGCCCGTCTTTAAGGCATTTCTTAACCCCTTAACACACACAATTTTATATCTTGTGCACAAACATATTGCATACCAAAAATACAATTTGCCAATGAAATTATATTTTAAGTCCTGCATGCTTGTGATATATCTCATTTGAAAGGTAAGACCTTCTAGTTTCTGTAAATATGTGCACAGTCTGTAGGTTTTATACAACCAGAGCTGTGTAACATCAAATATTTCCAAAAAATACTTTTTTTCCTCTCAAATGAAAAAAATGCAATTTTTATTATGTTATATCTTTTGTATAATTTATAGTTAACCTCTCCCACTTAATATGCTTATTCTTCATCTTGTGGACAACAACAGTGTAAAATCTCAGATCTCTAGCCATAAGCATTGTGTAACTGTGACCCTTTTTGTATGTAAAGAGGTCCATTAAGTACAATTGCAGTGCAAAAAATTGAAATCTAAATAAGTCATTTTTTTCTTGAATTGAGGAGGTAAGTGCGACACTTTGCCAATGGAACAAAATAATTTACATTTAAAATAAGAAAAAAACAATTGCATTGTCTTATTTTAAATGCATTATTATATTATCTTATTTTAAGAGTAAAAATACAAATTCCATTGGGAGATCATTTTATTTACTTACTCAAATTAATGCTAAATACACTTAATTTGAGCAATTGTTGCTAATTCCTAGATTTTTTTTTCAGTGTATGCCAAATTTGGACTAAATTTAAAAACAAACCGATATTGGGCGGCGGACGTTAAGTAGTTAAAAGATATATAGGTAGTACCTTCTCTAATTGTGATTGGTAGTGTAAACCAAACAAGCAGCCGTGAAATGAAAGCAGATTTTGTGCAAATGTGGACTTCCGAAACTGCAGTTTGCAGGCTCCTCCTAGTGTGGATCTTTTAAGTAAAATCCTAAATTTGGATATAGTAAATGTAGGTTGTTCCAAAACATTAACTCCCTTTCTGTTTTAACTTTTTAATCAGTTTAAAAACTGACACATATATCTAACCCCAAATCTCTCCTTTTTTTTACCCAAGAAATACAATCTAGAAATATTAACTCAAATGAACAATATTTGCGAACAATGCAGTAAGTCAGAATGAACAAGTTACTAAAGCTCTGTTTTTTTCTCCCATTTTGACAGAATTTAGACAAAGAATCACTGAACACATTCTTAGAGAATTTCAAACAGCAGAGTATTAACAATGAGAGAATTGCTCAATCTCCAAGTGATGTCAGTACCACTGTAAATGTCCTCAGCAATGTTGTCTCCAAGTTTTCCTTTTTTTCTGTGCCCTTGGATGAAAATTCAACGAAGGTAGGAAAAGTGAAATGGTTTGTTATATTTTCTTTTTAAGACATGTTTGAGGTCTAAAAAATAATATTTTTTATCAAACAGAACATTTTGGAGATTGCTGGCCCTCTCACCTCTAATGACTCAAAGGCCTTATGGGAATACTTGAACCAAAGAAAAAACTACAGCTCTTCCTTCTTGAACCTATTTGAGACAACATCCACTCTTCTTGTCAACAAACCCCTTACCATTGAGACCCCTTTTTTTCTGTTAAAGAGAGCTAAAGTCATAGACCCTTTTCATGATTCTTTATTGGAAGTGAGCATACAAAAGGCTAATGGGGAAAGGAAATTCATCACCTTAATCATTTTTGATTCCATGGATAATGTGCTCCCTGCAAAACAGAAAGTCAACTCCCCACCCATGGTTATCAATGGAAAGGTTGTACTTGTTCAGAAAGATCCCAGCATCGAAAACGTATCGATGAAATTTCATATGCTAAATAAAAAGCTGAAAGATCCACAATGTGTTTTCTGGGATTTCGACCTCTTTGATGGTGTCGGAGGATGGAGCAACCAGGGTTGTTCTGTGCAATCCCAAAACAACGAAACCATCAGCTGCATCTGCAACCACACAACCTCCTTCTCAATCCTGATGTCCTCTGATAATTTTAAAGACTCTGAAATGGAGGACATAACATTCATTGGGGTTGGCATATCCATAGGTTCTTTGGTTATATGTCTTCTAACTGAAGCTCTCGTATGGAAAAAAATAAGTACCAACACAACCGCATTTCTTCGTCACGTTTTCATCGTTAACATCGCAGTTTCTCTCCTGATAGCAAACATTTGGTTCATCATAGGAGCATCTTTTACAGACCCAGAGAATAAAAACCCTCCTGCATGTGCAGCAGCTACCTTCTTTATCCATTTTTTCTACCTTGCCATGTTCTTCTGGATGTTAGCCACAGGTCTGCTGTTGCTCTATCGTACTGTCCTGGTCTTTGAGGGGGGGTTTTCTAAAACGTCTATGCTGGTTATGGGATTCATTTTGGGATATGGTGCACCCTTAATCATTGCAGTAACAACCATGGCTGTAACTGCCCCCTTAAATAAATACATAAGAGGAAATCATGTCTGTTGGCTGAACTGGGATGATTCAAAAGCCCTGTTGGCGTTTCTGGTCCCTGCACTTCTTATCGTAGCCATAAACTTCATCATCCTGCTTGTAGTGATATTCAAAATGTTAAGAAGAAGATCAGAGAAGAATGCAGGGCAAGCAGGAGAGCAGCATGTTCTGGTGGTGATTGCCAGGAGTTTGGCTGTGCTCACACCATTTTTTGGACTGACCTGGAGTTTGGGAATCGGGACCATAATTGCACCGACAAACAGGGAGATTCATTTTGCTTTTGCACTGTGCAACTCACTACAGGTAGCAGTTTGTCTGTAATGATTTATTGCCCCATACTTTTTAATGGGTTAATTAAAAAAAGTGTTTTTCTTTTTACCTGATGCCACTTCTCTAGGGTTGCTTCATCTGGGTGTTTGGAACACTGCTGGACAAAAAGGTGTGCATTACAGAGTAATCTGAAAACATTAAGTTAACTATAATATATTATAGCAAGATTGACAGATTTAAAATGTACAAATATTGCTTTTTTCATTTTTTAAATTATTGCAATTTATTCATGAACTCTTTGTAGTTTTATTTTTTTGATCTTTCATTATGTGTGATTATTTTTATTATTCTTTTTGTTCAGGTGCGGTCAGAAACGATAAATTCTCTGAGCTCCCAGGAAAAGTTTATAGCCGGTTGGTGATTCACAATGCTGCAAGTTTCCGCTTGGGATACAAAAGCCTCTGAGTGAGAAGACTAGTTACCCCATTCTCAGCAAACTTTACCACTCGTTTTCCCGACATACTATTTGATAATGTTGTCTTCTGAGAATATGTTAATTGTACCTTATCCAAATTTAATTCTAGATATTTAGAGTCGCCTTACCTTTAGTCTGGTAACTGTAACTTACATGTAGATTTTAAGGTGTTTTTCTAACTTTTTCTTCTCATGTTATCAAACTATTGTTATGAAATCAAACATGTGAAAATTTGAAAGACTAATTTTATTTCAGCCTTTCGCTGACACTTCACATGAAATACACAAGCAATATTCTGGAGCGGAGGCACAGGGTTAGTGCTCTATCTGCTGTGCTTAGACTCCCCAGGTGCATGCTCTAAAAAAACTTCTTATACATGTCAAAATAAAGACGAGAAAGTCAACACATCCCTGAGACTATTTATTGGGGTCATAGGACAATTCAGTGCTAACTGGAGCCTTCTGCAACCTGTATTCACCAACAGTGGAAGAGAGATTTCCAAGGAGAGGTCAATATGAGAGTGCCATGTAACAAGACACCAGATATATATTCCCTTTCTGCCTTAAAGACTCTCTGATTCTTTTCTTCAATGTGTAATTTATGTATCATATCTTTCCTTACATCTTAGTCATGTGTATTTATTGGATATATATGTTTTTATGTGTGTGTATACACACACATATATATGTTTGTGTATATATATATATTATAGTACATACCTGCTTATAGCTTATAAGCTCATAGATACTTATAGATGAGCTTTTAGGCTCACGGGTGCTTTTTACATATCACATCTTTTACTGTCATAGTTTTAATTGTATAGTTTTATTGCCAATTGTTGTAAACAGTTTGCATTTGTTTTAAAATAAATCTTTTTTTTAACACATTTTCATTTTTACTTACTGCAAAACTTTGTTTTGATACATTTAATACATATATTTCATACATAAATACATTTTTGGTTTTGGACAAGTTACATAAAAAGGGCATGTATTGAGGTTTTAAGGTAAATTAGTGTTTACTTCCTTTTGGACTCACCTTGTAGGTCCCTGTATGGAGAAAAAAAGCTGCCATTTGTAAAGAAATGACCATCAACAGGCAATGCGGTGAAGTTTCTGGCCTATAGACACAAGGACAGAGGCAAACAGAGCTGGAATTCAAACTAATAACCCCCCGGTTGCAGGGCAAACTATAACATCTTACGCCATTGTCACCCTATGTGAGAAAAAGAACAGCTTGAAGCCCGCATTCACACACAAAAAGAAAAACTGAAAAAGAGCAGCTCTCAGCATAGCTGCTGCCACAACATCGGTTTTGTCAGAATCCGTAATTTCATCTTTGAAAGAAGAAAAGCAAATGTAAAGCTTAAGTTGTAATTTATTATAATGCTTGTTGCTAATACAGTTGTTACCATGATGGGCTAAATGTGAGCTTTGGCAGGAGGGCATTAATTTTTGCTTCATCAAACCAGCTCAAAAGGTTCTGCAAAATGGTTCATTTAGCCAAACAGATTTGATGGGATCAGTCCCAGATTAAAAAGGTATAGATCTAAACCTGAATGGTACATATTACCAACTGGCTTGCTAGGTCAGCTGTACAGTCATTGCCTAAAAAGTAAAAGTTTAAAAAGTAAAAGAGTTTTATGCAAATTCCCGTCTTCTATTTCGACAGCAAGGAATGGCATTAGGTGAAATAGAGCAGAGTCCTGCATGGGTATGATTTTTCAAAACTGTATCCACCTGCGCCTGTAGAGTTCAGAACCGAGACCCAGTCTGTTACCCGCAATAATCCCCATTTAAAACCCGCGACTGCATGCACCGGTAGAGTTCAGAACCAAGACCAGAACCGTTAAACGCAATTATCTCAATTTAAAAACCAGTAGGATCACCGTAATTATATAGTGCAACCCAACCTGTGATCACAAAGTGTACACACAGCCGTTTTAGTGCTTCAACATAACATGCTTTATTTTTCCAGTTGCAGCAGAATACTGTCTTAATAACAGAGGCAGTAATGAACATTGCCTCATCCTCACATCCAGTGCGTGCTGCGCCCACAGATTAACTGCTGAAAACAAGCCAAAGCAGGGCCTTTTCTTTTGCCCCCAAGCACAAATACACACTCATAACTGACATGAATATATATATATATATCAAAACATGCTTCTTTTGAAAAAAAAACTGTCTGAGTTCACATTAAATTTAACACGGACAGTATAAGAACAAGACTGAATTTAGTGTGCAAAATTCACAAGACCTTTTCGGCTCCTAAAAACAGAGCTCAAATTAACTAATCAAAAAGACACAAATAAAATAACTGTTGTGTTTACTCAATGATATTTAAACTTTGTTCCTAAGGTGGCAGTTCTCCTTTCCTTAATCGCAAACCCAGCAGGTGAAAATTCTCTTTCACTAGCTAAACTTAATGCAGGAATGGCAAGCACATTATGCGCTATCGATAATAGGTTTGGGAACATTTTTTGAGTGATCCTTTCACCACAGTAAAACCTCCAAAGCATCGTCTTTTAGTGTCTTGAATTCAGTGCTGCTACTTCATCCAGAGGCTGATATTCATCACTGGACTCTTCAACCTCAGCTAAATCATCCCCTGATTATTGCAGAGTTTCTCTGCAACTGAGGCATGGGGCTCCCATGTTTGTCCTCAAGTTTTTGAAAATAGAAAAGCTCAAAATCAAGATTAGTATTAGTTATAAGGCACACTCCCATGTCCAGTGTCAGGTCTTTTTAAACAGTGACAAATTTAATGCTGCTTATGATGGGCCTGAGTCAAGCTCCTTTCTTGTGTATTTTTGGGAGGCTGTAGATCTGGGGAATGACTTTTCTTGGATACAGCCAGTAGTATTCTTCCCTGTCGATGGCTTTGTCCTTTTCTAACTACTGAAGGAAGCTGATGACCTTCTTCTTGTAGCTGCTGGTGGGATCAATAAATGGTAGTTGGCTGTTTCACTGATGAGGGTTTTAACTTTTTTTCATCTCTAAGGAGGGTTTAGAGCTTTCCTTTCTGGAATGGTCAGGGTGTGTGAACCTGGAAAAAAAATCTCAATCTTTCAAACCAGCAATGAGTGAAACATTGGTATGAACCATAGGAATCTAGTTTGTGGGTTACAAGCAAGGAATCACAAGTTGGACAAAACTTCTGTTTCTTTTTAATGACTAAAGAAACTATTCCTTGTTGGTTCTCAGTGTTTCTCTAAGTTCAGTCCTTACTTATTATCTCTTGTGTATCTACTCTTCCAAGGTTCCAGCAAAAGTCATATCGCTCCTTACCTCAAGTGACAAGTTTTCCTCCTTGTTCTTCTGCAGCCTTCTTCAGCTGAAGACCAACCCTGAACATGCCTTCAGATTCAAGGAACAGGAGGAATTAATCACATCTCTAAAGAGTCAAGTTGCAAAACTAACAGCTGGGGTAAACCAGAAAAAAGTACATAAAAATCTTTCCATGAAACTTAAGCCTCCAGAAAAACGGAGACGTCATTGCAAATGAAGTCGCCCGAACTGAAAGAGGGACCCAGGCAAAGAGGGCTCCCAGGAAACAGAGATGGTATTGCAGGCAGAGGCCCCCCCACCATAAAAAACAGAAGAAATAATACAAAAGAAATATGTAATGCAAACCCAAGCCTCTGTAGGCATACCGACCAATATCGAAATGTAGGTCACAAGCCAAACCAAGAAGTCAACATGCATCAAGGACAGTCTGAATGTAGTTCTGCAGGCAACTACAAGATTTCCTCTCTACAAAGGCCAGTAGGCAAACACAGGCCTCAGGGATATCAGATGTACTTAAACAAAGCTTAGCTCCAAACAAAGCTTAAGCAAAACGTAGCTCCAAGTGTGTTCTCATCTAAAGTAAATAAGTGCAGCAAAACAAAAATGATTTAAATAAAATAAGGATACAACAAAAAGACCACTGTCAGGATTAGAGGGTACCCAATTGCAGAGCTGAAGAACCATAGATCATTTCTTGTAGAATTTGATGAAATATGTAAAATACAGAAGTCATAATCCAGAACAGATTAAACTCAGGAACCAACAACTTAGGAATGATGGAATGAGCAGAATCCAGCAAAAAGTAGCTGAAGAGCAGGAGTATATATGCCAAACAGAACATTGAATGGTGTGATCAACTGATTTGGAGCAGGTGTGGAAAGAAGGATCTAGAAGGGAGCTAGGGGAAAGGAGGCATCAGAGACTAAACAACAACTACAAGATGCTTAAACACAACCACAGAACAACCAGGATGAAAGTACATGGAAATTAAAAGACTGAGCTAGAAAGCACAGAAAGACAGAGATTAAAGTGTAAATGAAAAATCAAAAAGAAAACTGAAAGACAACAAAAGACAGAGATCAAACAGAGAAAAAAAAGAAACATCCTCTCTTTGAACTGTCAACTCAATACTGTAGGGTGTTTCAGTGCTTGGGTGATCCCAGAGGCTACAGGTGCTGGTCATAAAATTAGAATATCATGAAAAAGTAGATTGATTTCAGTAATTCCATTTAAAAAGTGAAACTTGTATATTATATTCATACATTACATACAAACTCATATATTTCAGATGTTTATTTTGTTTAATTTTGATGATTACAAATGACAACAAATGAAAATCTCAAATTCATCATATCAGAAAATTAGAATATTACTGAAGACCAATAAAAACAAAGGATTTATAGAAATGTTGGCCAACTGAAAAGTATGAACATGAAAAGTATGAGCATGTACAGCACTCAGTATTTAGTTGGGCCTCCTTTGGCCTGTATTACTGCAGCAATGCGGCGTGGCATGGAGTCGATCAGTCTGTGGCACTGCTCAGGTGTTATGATAGCCCAGGTTGCTCTAATAGTGGCTTTTAGCTCTTCTGAATTGTTGGGTCTGGTGTATTGCATCTTCTTCTTCACAATACCCCATAGATTTTCTATGGGGTTAAGGTCAGGAGAGTTTGCTGGCCAATTAAGAACAGGGATACCATGGTCCTTCAACCAGGTACTGGTAGCTTTGGCACTGTGTGCAGGTGCCAAGTCCTGTTGGAAAATGAAATCTGCATCTCCAAAAAGTTGGTCAGCTGCAGGAAGCATGAAGTGCTCTAAAACTTCCTGGTATGTGGCTGCGTTGACCCTGGACCTCAGAAAACACAATGGACCAACACCAGCAGATGACATGGCACCCCAAACCATCACTGACTGTGGAAACTTTACACTGGACTTCAAGCAACGTGGATGAAGTGCCTCTCTTCTTTTCCTCCAGACTCTGGGACCTTGATTTCCAAAGGAAATGCAAAATTTACTTTCATCAGAGAACATGACTTTGGACCACTCACCAGCAGTCCAGTCCTGTTTCTCTTTAGCCCAGGCAAGACGCTTCTGACGCTGTCTGTGGTTCAAGAGTGGCTTGACACAAGGAATGCGACAGCAGAAACCCATGTCTTTCATACGTCTGTGTGTGGTGGTTCTTGAAGCACTCACTCCAGCTGCAGTCCACTCTTTGTGAATCTCCCCCACATTTTTGAATGGGTTTTGTTTC